TTCTCATGTAGGTTTTTTACGATATTTTAATTTTTAAATGAGTTATGAGCATGCTAAGTGTGAATATTTGAAAATGCACATGTGGGTGTAGCGTCCTCTTAACACAAATTGGCAGGAAATACTTATTAATAGTTTAACACTTTCAGGAAAGTAAGTAAATTTTATTGTCTTAGATTTTAATTACATAATATAATACAAATGAGTTGTATAATAATTATTAGTAAAAAATATTTATAAAAAGATAGCCCAGTTTGTGTTTAATAWCGTATTTTCATAAATCTGTAGATGTTGGAGGGCGTTTGGGAGTTGACTGTGTTGAGGAACGAGATAAATCGAAACTGCTGGGAGTTACATTTGAATAAACCGATGTAGTATCTGACCCATCAGTGTCCGATGATGAATAAGAGTCCATGTTCATAATCAACTCTTGTCTATATGAACTAATAGAATCATTGAGCTGCCGTAATTGGGACAGGAGTTGTAAATCCATTTGACGTAAACTAGCCTTAAACATATTAATTATAACAGATTATAAAACTGGGTATATTTGATATCACTGTAGTATACCATTTCATTACGGAGATGCGCAAGTTTTAGGTCAACAGATGACGGTTTCCTGGGTGGAACAGGCGGTTTTTCAGTTGGACGTTTATCAGAATATTCTGATGGTATTGGCGACTGAGGTGTTTGTTTAGGTGAGCCAACAAGTTCTGTTGGTTTAGGTGAATGACGTCGAGCAGGTTCAGGTTTAGTACGTGGTGGTACATCATACAGACTTAAACGACTGAGGCTTTCAGGTAGAGGCGGTAGTTCAGAATCGTAAGACAACGATAAAGGTGACAATAAATCTGAGTCTACTCTCGAAACTTCCACTCCTGGCGACACATCGGGCACTGATGGTGTACGGACTGGGCGTTGAGCCATTTCATTATGCAATGAATGTGGAAGCAATGTGAACACTGACCCCACACTGAAATAAAATAATATCAATYGAATGAGTATGAATATTAACTTGGTTGGTAAAATTATTAATAATTTATTAATCTACCTAAAGGACAATCGTCACCGGCAAACTTGCAGTCAGGACAGCAAGCTTCAAACGCCACTCGACAAATACCACAGGTGTCGTCATTGGCTACCCAGCGCCATTGTGCAACACCGAGCACGTCTAATGTATAATAAAAAGAATTAAATAATATTTTTATACTAAGTACTAATGATGAATAACTATATTTTATGCTAATTTAAGCCACTAAATAAGAAAAAGAAATCAACATTTTTTTTTTTT